GCCAGCAAAAATGGAGCTCGGTAGGGTTGCAAGCTCCATTTTTGCTGGCAGAAGCGCCATGGACAAGTCCTTCACTGTTTCCAGGGTAGCCCTGCAGGCCAGATCCAAGCACCCCATGGGCCAAATCCGGTGCCTTGAGTTTGACACCCCTGATCTATAGCTAACATGGTTTCACATGGATGACTTCAGAAAGAATAATTTGAGAGAGGTCAGGGGAATCTATTCTTCCTATGCATCTATCTTCCAGTTGAACCTTTCCAATGCCAAAAAGATGATGGGTCAGAATCAATCCAATTCTTACTGCTATTAGATTGAAAGACGTGCTGGAGGAAGAGGATTTTTCTTGCTATTATGTTATTGCTCTTCTGGTCATGGGTCAGAATGACCTCATCTTTAAACACCTATTAATTAAATTCTCAAAGTACTGTGATATGAATTCACTGAAAATTAATTACATTAAATCCAAAGTATTGGTTTTTGAGAAGAGTTATAAACCACAGTCATGACATTTAAATGGTGATAAGTTGGAGCAAGTTAAAAATTTTATATACATTATTGGAAGGTAATATTCACCATTCTCTTTCATGGTTTTTCCCTTAGGTATTTTGCTAATTAGGCATCTGGGTTAAAGGTTATTGCTAATAATTTAGTGATTCTTAGATGTTTCTATTAGAGGGAACCAACACCTCTTCACAGTCATTTGGACTTTTTAGAACAAAACAGGGACTCAATTTTGATATGGTGGCAATCTGGGTTAAAGGAATTAAAAGATGACTATCCTTATTACTAGCCCAATTCTTTTGTGTTTTGTTTCATGTCCTAAATTGTGTTCCCAATCTGTTCTTTATTACTGGAAAAAAGGTTTATGCCCTTTTTCAATTTGAGTCTGGTCAGTTACTGTTGATGTATAGTTGAGGAAATGTATTTTTAGAATATTGGTTGGCCTTTTGGTGCCAGTCCCTTTAGAGAATTACACTAGTACTTAGATAACTTTGTTAGCAGACAAAACATAACAAATAGGTATTGATTTGACAAGGGTATCAGATTTAGATTATTCCTCAGCAAACACTCAAATTGAACTGAGGCTTTTTAGACACTGTCCACCAGGATTTGCAAGCAATCTTGCTCCCCAGTATATTTTGAAATAAGATAGCAGAAAGACTTTTACCTTACACCTTACATGAAGACAGCTATTCATGTATTTTCCTCTTTAAAAACATGGAAGCTCACATTTTCTTAAAAAAATAGGGTGATTATGTTTATTTATATAGTTTATATAAGTCTTCCCATTCTCTTCATTTTCAAATACTGTTTTAAACTATTTTTTTAAAAGAATCAATGTTAAATATTTAATTCTTTAATTAAGTTATGAACATCCTATAATAAGAATTCTTAGTACAAAATTGCTGGTGGAAAGTAAGAAAACACTCAGTTATGTATTTGAGAAGGCCAATACAAACTGACTGAATGAATGTATGGCTCTTGAAAGTATTAAGAGACTAATATGCTGTCTTAAAATCTTTGTTAGTTTTGTTTGTTTTAATTTATATTATTCTTTGAATGATGTATTTTCTATCTTCATTTTCTTTTGAGTTGCTTCTGCACAATCATCATTCCACTTAGCATCCGTATGTAAACTCACCATTATTAATGACATGAAAGACCTGTTCACTATTGTTGATTTAGTCATGTTATTATTTGTATTCTTACTTATATACTTCAATGAACCAGTTTTAGCTATTCATTCGTTTTTGCAAAAAGCTGACTGGCAGGGAATATTGGGAAGTGAGGCACATGATGGTGAGCAGGCTCTGGCTTCATTAACTGATAGTGAAGATGAAAAGTAGATGATGGACTGCCTTAAGTGAACAAATCGCCTGCTTGCTGCAAATGGGATATTCAGTTGGTTCGGCATCATGGTATAGCAATATAAAAGATGCCTGTTGTCTTAAACTTAACAAATGACATTATTTTCATTTCCCTCCCTCTTTTCTCTATGTCCTACAGGAGAAATGCTGGTGAAATCCAATGTAGGACCCCATCTGGTCAGGTTCCAGGTAGTTCAGCCATCCTCATTCATATCAACCGAGCTGTGCTTAGCAGTGCTGACGTTACATATTATTATACTGAGGATCCCACAATCCAAAAGATAGAACCTGAATGGAGTATCAGAAGGTAAGATTGAATAAATGAAATGATCCATTTTTTGGTGATGTAGTTTTTATGCAGTTTATGCCTTTACACAGAAGAACTACTGAAGAATGTCATAACTTTTTTTCCTTAGCTATTTCAATAAATACTGTAAGGTAAAGGCACGATAGCCATCATATGTCATTTGAACACAAAATGCTGAGTATTTCTTGGCACCCTTTATTCTGAACACTCCTTGGTAGAATGCCACGTTAATACCAATAACAAGAGTCAATTCCTGCAAATGTTAGGTTTTCTATCTGTTTTGTATCTATTTAATAAGTTATTTAAGGACAATTCAGGGTTATTTATGAATTACTGATATGGTATATCTCTTTTCCCACAAGAAAATATTTATTTTGTATTTGGGACAATAGACCTTTGCTTTTGACATGCGTTTTCTCACAAAATATCAATATGAAAGTGAAATTGTAAGATTTGAAAAACATATTATTTGTTGGGTTTATACTGGTAATTAACGGACCCGTATGAAAAGAATTCAAAAAATGTCAGAAATATATCCTTTTATGTCTAGCTTTTGGATTCCTTACAGAATTCCAAAATAAACACTGGAAGGAATAATGTATTTTCTGCCCGGAATTTGGCATCAGTTAATGCTATTAAAACTTGATATTAGCTTACTTGGGAGTAAGCCTTATCCTACTCATTTGTAGAATTGTACTGTAATAGTTTAGCTATTTACAAAAGATTTAGCTATATAAGGAATGGGGGGAATCCACTCAAATCTCTAGTTATGTGACACAGCACAGAATGGGAACAGTGCGCTATTTTAAAGCACTCCTTAGTAGACATTTTACTAAATGATGAAGTTGACTGCATTTGTCTTAGATGCATAGCCTTATAAAAATGATAAGTGTGTGTAGGACCAAGTTAATTTAAGGTGAAGATAATATTAAATGGGAAGAAACAAAAACCATTTTCCCTCACAAAAGTAAATTGAATACAGCAAGGAGGGACAGGAGGATAGAAAGAGAAGCATTGGCAGTCACACAGGGAAAGCAAGCTGAGCAACCCCATTGTTCCAATAAAGATTTTAAAAGTTGGAGGAAGAAGCATCCCAAGGAGACAAGAATCAACAGTCATGTGTCTCAGCCAGGTTCCTTAGATGTGGCAGCACTTCTGACTGGTAGTGGGCAAAAGGAAGAACTATTCTTGTTAAGAGTCAAAGCTTGATATTGGGCATCCTGGCTACACTGTGGAGATTAATGGAACTCAGAGTAGGAATTGTTTGTTACTGCCTGAAGTAACTCACAAAGACATTGTTTTACCCAGCATGAAGTTAAAAGGGCAGGGAGCTGCAAAATATTGAAACAAAAGGAATGCTTTGTTTCATTGACTTATGCTGCCCGCACTCTCTTCATTGGGAGCTTCCGTTGACCTCTTCTGTTTGCTTCCTAGTGGTGGGACATTATTGACTGTGACGGGCACTAACCTGGCTACTATCAAAGCACCTAGAATCCGAGCCAAATATGGCACTGCTGAGAAGGAGAATGTAAGTAAATCTTCATCCAGCTTTAACCCAATGTAGTATACTCCAGTTGTTTTAGGAATTCACCAGTGGTGCGTTGCAGGTAGTATGCCCCAGTGCAAGCATACCGGAGCCTGCCTGGAGCACCGGGTACCGTTCTGGTGCTCCAGAGGGCCCACCTGCCTGCTCACGCTCCTTACCTGTCTTTAAACCCTTTGGCACTTCCGCGCATGTGCATTGCGTGTACAGTGCCTGCGTGATGCTCCGCTGAGCAGCTGGAGCTCTGCGGAGGCTTGTGGAAGTGTCGCTGGATGGTAAGACGCATCCGCGTGCTACATGTGTGTTTATGTGGAGGGCGCCAGGCCCCATTGCAACTGTACTGGATGCAATGGAATCCGGAACCCACCACTGGGATGCACATTCTGTTCTGGAATTTGGAGAGCTTGGATCCAGGATACCTGAGCAGCCATGATCAAAAGTCTGCCTTCAATGTTTTTGATGAGTAGACAATATATTTCTAAAAACTTCAGAATTTCATGAAGACCATAATTACCTTGGTTGACAAGCTTGGTTGTTTTGTTGTATTGTTGTCTCGGGTATAGTATAATTCAGAATTTTTTGAAAAAAACTATGGAATAGTTTGGAGATCTTATACCACAATCAACATTTAAATGGTGCAGGGAGAAAGAATTTCTTGTGCTCCTCACATTCACATTCACAGCCTGAGAAATAAGAACAATCTACTTAGGATGTCTTGGATGTGTTCTGTGATGCAGAATGAGTTAGGTAAAATCTACATAACTAGTATAGGGAAAAGAAC